TTCTCTGTAATCTGTTGTCACAATAATGTCAAACTGCCTGCACCGTGACATCAGCGTCTTCTCCTTCAGAATCTGAAGGTCTACTTGTCCCCTGATTTCAAAGTAGCTGCCTTCTTGTCACAGACAAATGAAAGAAATGTTAATGAACCTCTAAGAGCCTGAAGGCCAGCGAAGATAAAACAGGAAAATTCGCTCATCAATCCAGCTGTGATTCCCTCAAAACAGAAAGCGACCGACTTGGCAGCACGCTGAGAATCAAAAATTCATTATGGCACCATAAAAGAAAAAAAAAACCTATGGATCAGTCACAGTGCTGCTAACAAGGGGGAAATGAAGTAGATGTTAGAGACGGAGGGCGAGGCAGAGCAAATACTGCGGCAGCAGCTGCTCTCTGCAGTATGGCCATTAAGACAGGAGGAGGTGACGCTTCTAGGTGGGGGCGTGTAATGAATGTGCACCGGTGGCTCTCTGGAACATCTGCGCACCCCCCAAAAAACCCATGCCATACCTTCACCTCCTCATACGTACACCGCCTGGCCTGCTGCAGCTCTCGTTTCTGTCTAACCACAAGCCCCCATTCTTCCATTTCTTATATATGACGTTTAATTTAAACTTTGTAAAAGCTCAAACTTAAGAGGCAAAGACAAGAGGAGGATAGAGGTGGAGGAGCATCCCCATCCTCCTCCTTCCTTCCCTTCCCTTTCCATCGCCTCTCCTCTCCCCCCACTGCCCCCACCTCAGCCTTCCTACCCCCCTCCTACGACGTTTCTTTGGGGGCTCCTTATAAACCAACCATCTATCTCCATTATGCCCCTGAAATTGCTATTTGTCGCTTTGCGGGGAAGAAATAATCAATATGTCTTGTGGGGGCAGCGAGCGCATTAGAGGAAGCAAATTGATGTCTCTCGCCCCAGCGCTCCTCACCCAGCACACTGCACCACAGCTAATGGGAAGCCTCATGGGCTGGCAGACAGGGAGCCCGTGCACACACGCACATGTGTGTGTGTGTGTCAGTGCGCGTGAGTGAGTGAATGAGCGAATGGACAGGTGACAGTGAATTTATTAATGCAAAGTGAACGCCAGTGTTTGGCGGTGTGTTGATGTGCTTCGAGTGTTTGTGTGGACAGGAGTGGTCGAGAATATTCGCGTGCGAGCGTGTGTGTGTGTGTGTGCGCCTGTCCTGTCAGTTTGTGTGTGCGACCGGTGGCGACGCAGCCTTATCTCACACAGCCATCCGGTTTTAGGTCTTTGGCCTGTCAGAGGCAGATAGCCCTGTCACTACCGCAGCATCCCTTCTTTTTCCTGAGAGCCTTGAAGGCTTCCTGTGCCGACTGTCACAGCAGAAAATCCTCACCTGATAAGTGCACTGCAGACAGACGTGACTGGCCCTCCAGTCTATCTCCCCTGTTTGGCCTTTATTTCATTACGCTTCTCTCTCATCTTCAATCAGAGACCAGACACCATAAACATCCTTTTCATAATTTAAAAAAAAACAACACCCTTTTGGAGGTGCAAGGTTTTCATCCAGAATATGCAAATTGTTCCAACAGTTTTCTTCTTTATTCTCTGTCCTCAAATGTCTCCTGTGGAGGATTGTGTGTGTGTGTGTGCAATTATTCATAAGCATATTACCAAGTTTTCTTTGTACTCCTGATTCACACCTAATTTCTTTTATCTCAGTACTGTCATTGTTCCCCAAATAAAATTAAAGGTTTTTTTTTTCCAGAGTGAAGCAGGCTGAAGGGGAAGTGGTTAGTGATCATTTTGACCAACGACAGCTGCAGTGATGATAACAGGTTTAAACCTTTGTAAAAAGGACTGTGACTCAGAGATAAGTAATTCTCAACTCTCAGCTCAAATATCTGTTCATTACCAAAGTAAAACACAAGTACGCTGATAAGAGACAAATAAAAACACAAATAATTCAGAAATATAATTGTGCCCAAACTCACTTAATCTAAGATTTAAATCACTTTCTAAGCCATTAATAATATATTAATATATTTATGACCACACTCTCTAGACTCTACAAAGCACTTTGTGAATATGAAAAAAATGACTAATATTGTAAAAAAAACCTCTTATTTAGTACAAATGAATCTAACCAAAGATCTAATCCAATGGTGGGAGGTTTCTTGCCTTACAGCAAAAGATCACCAGATTATCTAAGTGATGACCTCGAACAGCATTAGGCGGAAGGAAATAAAAATATACGAAGGAATACCTTCAAAATAAATACATAAAAAACAACTCTAAGTTTTGACACTACTGCCGTTGGGATGTTGTCGACAGTGATGTTACGATGTTTTCAAAGGCCTTATCAAAATTACTGTATGGCTGTAACGAGTAACCAGGGGTCGGCCTCGGTCTCGTTAGAGTTGGACTGCAACAAATTCTCCCTCGTGCTTCTGTGAGACCTGGTATTTGCGAAGCCTCAGATGTTACATCAGTTAGAAAAGAGCTAGTGCTCTGCAAACGGTTTCACACAGATTCTAACTCATGCAGTGAAGCACCAGTACCTGCAGGACGTACTGCTGTTTTAATGATGCAGTCGCTGTAAGTTGGTGAAGTTACTGTGAAGTTACTGTGAAGTTACTGCCGTCCTGTGTCTTCTACATCTATTAATCACTGTGTTTTGCCTTTAACTCTGGACCTATAGCCACGGTAACTGAACCAGGTCTGGCTGTCGCTTCGTCAGCTCTTTGCGGAGCGTACTGTAGGTTTTGCTGTAATGTGCTGCTCACTAAATGGAAAGAAAATCCTACAACAACAGCTGATCTTTATTTGGGATCAGTCGTCTCATGAGACTGTAGTTGTGCACCATTCAGTTCAATTTTTATGTCGTGGACTAAAACAAACTAGATAATATCAGTGAACCGATGTTATCGCCCGATATTAGCATAAGTATGCAATAACAGTAAGAATTGTCATCGATTGTTTTTCCTGAGATAATTAAAACCTGATAATGCAATGCCTCAGATTCCTCCAGGTGATGTGACCTAAAAATAGTTTTGAAGGGAAGGTTAAAGTGAAACCGCACCATATATCGGTATCAGTTGATATCGGAATAAAAAATTCCGTGTTTGGACAATAAAAATCTAAAAAAAACAACAAATAAAAACCATATTATTATTGTTTAATTAAATCTTAATCTGAAACAATAGTTTTTCTTCACATGAACCACTGTGTGTCTTCTATTTTTTTTCCTTCCCAACATCTGTTGGAAATTATTAATTAGGACAATTAAGAAGCGTGAATGCAGAATACAAATGCTTACACAGAGATCAGATAATTAGGAGTTGGCATTTTTCTCCACTTTGTATTCATCAGTTTTAAACTGCAACAATTACTGTCCTAATCTATTTACTATAATGTGGTAATTCATCAAGAGGAAAAATGCAATCATTTGCTGTTTCTAGCTCCAACAGTGATGATATTTCATAAGTCTGGTGGTCAATCTTTACTCTATAGTTTTTCACTGAACAGACTGAACAATTGCTGAACAAACAGTGAAGGTTTTTCTGGAGCAGGATTAAAAAAAAATAGAATATTTTGGACAAAACTGATGGAAAAATGGAGTGACGACAACCTACAATTGTGTCTTTTTTATTTCAGTAGTATTATTTATATAAAGTATGTAATTTGATATTTGTTTAATTCTGATCTAGTCAAAAAATACAAATACAGTTTTAAATTTGAACCAAGTAAACAATGAAAAAATTCAAAGAAATATCATCATTAACTGAAATATTTGATGACCACCGCAGAATCAACGCAGACACTGTGGGGGTCAGAGACCCTATAATACTACAGTGTATTTTTTTCTACACAGAGGAGATTAAATGGAAGGCCAAATTTCACATTTCAAATCACACAGTAAAAATGATAATAAAAAGAATTTGAATTAGAAGGGAAAAAAACCAAACCAAAACAAAAACAGTGACTACATTCCCAACAGCTTTTCGTCAGTAGGTAAGTGAGCAACAATGACAAACTGGTGAGTGTGCGCAAGAAAGATACAGATCTGGCACAGGCTGCGTGTCCCTGTCTCTTCGGCACAAATGCAAACGCCGACTCCGTGGAGGCAGCAGCAGAATAACATCACTGTCACAGTGTTATGAGCAATGAATATGTAAATAGTGTGACTGACTGATACTATGAAAGTCAAGGGTATGAATTCAACTTGCTGTCATTCTTTCATACACACACACTGATGTGTGTGTGTGCATGTGATTGGAGAGCTCAGATGTCTGTGTCTCATCTCAGACACAGGGTGCGAGGCGTCACAACAGGATTCTCGATTATCCATTTATTCGCTGCAGAGGGCATTAAGGGCCTGTCAATCCTGATTTAGCCAGAGTGCACTTGTAGCAAACTATGACCACAAACACACACACACACACACACACACACTCCTAACTCCTTGAGGATAGCTTTTGTGTATTAAACTTTTGTATTAAAGTTTTTTTTTTTTAACTCTGACTGTGTCGTGCTGAACATTTTGATCTTTTTTTTTTTGTTTTTTTCGCTGCGTGCTAACCTTCTTAGCAGTGCACACAATCTGACACTTGTTGGTGTATTTCAAAAACCAGTTCCCATATGAACTATCGAAAAGATTAGTACTTACGCTAATTACAACCTAGCCAAATTTAGCTAGCTTTCACCTTAAAGTTTCCCCGCAGAGGGTAAAGTTAAGTCCTGGGTCACGCTCACGCTTTTTACATTTTCAACTAAAGAAGATTTGCTCTCTGCTAAATACGGTGCAGAGGTTTACTTCATCTGTTGCATCTATACTATTGTTAGGACACCTTTGAAATATAAGCATTTTTTAAAAATTCTATTTTTTTCTAATTTTGTTTGAGATGACATAAAAAAATAATATATATTTTCTTACTCTGACAACCTTCCCAGAGTGGTTTTAAGAAGTAAATAATTCTGTCTTCCAGTGAAGTCCGTTCAGGAACTTATTTAAATGAAAAAGTCCAATAAATTCTACTCACGTTTCGTGTTGGTGTCACTCGCCAGATTCATTCCTCCTCATCAGCAGCCTGATGTTCCATCTGAAAGAAATGTCAGGTTTAATAAGATATTAGTGCTCGGAAATGGCATGCTTAAGGGTGAGGTTAAGCTGTCAATCAAATGATCCATACAGTATGTAGATCAGTGTGAACACTGTGATTTGCCTAAATTTCCTCCACCCAGGAGTCTTTGGAAGCAGAGTAGGGGTATAATTTTCAGACATTTGAAGTAAAAAAAAGCCCCACCTGTAAGTCATTATTTTCACCAAAGTCTTATGTAAAAAAGAGTGCTGCATAAAATGATTGGTTTAAAGCAATGGCGTTAAACTCATTTTCACCGGGTGGGGGTGGCTGTGAGGCACATCAGCAATACAGCCACCCTTGAAGGGCCGGTTATAAATGACTGTAAAGATGTAACTACTCCATAACGTTTTAATAAATGTTTGTGCAGTTGATTATTATATATTCAAATTAAAATATTGTTCATTGTTGTGTGATAAAAAAAAAATCTTTTAATTTAACTGGTTCAGAAACTCTGCTGCATGGACTTTATTAAATGCTTTTTAAGCTCCTGCGGCCCATAGAAGATGACATGGTGGGCCGATTTTGGCCCCCGAACCTTGAGTTTGACACCTGACTTAAAGGACAGTGTAAAACTGACCACAAATGGACGATAATGTCAAAGCGTAGCATTGGCTGCTAAAGATCATCAAAATGTTCAAGTGTCATATATGTGTAAGCTCAGAGTACTGTACTGTACTGTACTGTACTGTACGTGAGAATTACTTCCTGTTGATACTGGTTTTGGTCTCGTCATTAATTCAAATGAATGCCATTGCTCCACCACAGCTACAGCTTAGGCTGAATATGATTGGCTGGCATAACAAGGATTTTTGTGGGTGGCATTATTTTTAAGACCATTAGCTTTGCAGTACTCAGTAGCTTTTTTCTCTCTCTCTCTCTCTTACAACATCTTTTCAAGTGTCTGTTCGGCACACTTCACTTCAGGGATCACCCCTCCGTCACATCGCGCCAGCACCCGTGCCGTCTCCCAGGATTTGTGTTTCCCTTTGATAAACTTTCTGTGTGGAGTTTTCCTGCATGTGTTGCCTTCATGTGCTCTGCTTTCTTTCACACTTTCCAAAGCAGAGTGCTCAGTTAATTGGAGGCACAACTGCCTGTATGTGTCTATGTGTGTGTGTGTATATGTGTGTATAGCTATACTCGTGGGGCCTTTTTTTTTTCTAAAGAAAAACAGTAATGTTTAGGGGACACTTTGTGTTGTGAGGACATTGTGTAGTACACCACTGAGTAAGAGTATTTTAAGGTTGTGGATACTTAAGTTTGCAGTTAGGATTAGAATTAAGGTCAGGACTAAGATTAGCATTACGACTATCTATTTAAAGATAAATTAAATAAAACACCATTTCACCACTAGAGGCATCAGCATAATTAAAATCGTGGCACCATTTCAGTGACTCAAATATAATTGATTTGAAACATTTACAAATATTTTGCAGTCGATTTCGCATTTTTTTTGAAGAAAACAAACTCATTAATATACAGTATATTGTAATTAAAAGAAAGAAAGAAAAAACCTCTTCACCGCATCGTTACCAGGCCATAGAACCTTGGCTAAGTCAGGTAAAAGACGGGCTATGGTACTCCAACCTCTGGACATACAGTAAATGACACTGACAGCTAAATAGTGAATGCCTGACAAACCATTCAAGCTGAATGTCACGTTACATACGTATATCGAGTCATGAACGGCTAATAGATTTATTTCAGAGAGAGACACATTCATAGGTGACATCGATACACAAATATCATAAGAAATACTAAAGTACATGAAAAAAAATTGCAGTTGATGTTAAAAGTTCGCTAACAAATAGCTTAAGGTCAGTCAGAATCTAAATTTTTAATAGTTTTGCCAGAAATTATTTAGACAAATTTGCTCGTTGACACTGCAGATTTTCAAAATTAAAAAATAATGGCATCATGATATAGGTACAGTATATGGTAATATATTATACTGGCTCTACCTGCAACCTCATAAAATGACACTGACTAGACCCAAATGAAGTTCAGCTGTTGTAGTCACATTGTCTTGCCATTTATTGCATCATTTTGTGTTTTTTTTTTTTCTTTCTGTAACATATTACACATTTTAGTGCAATACAGTGTGCTTATCCACCCTGAGACTAAGGCTGCCCTTCAGTGCATTTAAGGATAGAGAAACTGTCCAATGAGAGCCTCGTGTTGAAACACATTTTGAAAGATAGGAAAAAAAAGGAATTTTCAATTTTCAAAACAAACTTCAAATATTTCTTTGTCTGGCTCTGCAGTCGAGAGAAACTTTGTTTAATTTCTCTTCCCGCTGTAAAAAAAAAAAAAAAAAATCTCTACAGTGCCTTCCAAAGTGTAACACAACATTGTTAGAGAAATAATTCTGTCGCCAGTTGCAAGTGACAAACACCACCATCGCGCAGCGCCGCAGGTTTATTCACAGCTTTGATGGACACAGAATCAAGGCTGTCGCTGCGAGCGCAGAAGAAAACCATGGCTATTAGAAAAGCCCTGTGTGAGAGACTTGGCTGCTGCATGCACCGCTGGGTATAAATGAGTCTAGCAGCACGGCCAACGCGGGCCGAGCTTTAACACAGCACCACAGACACGCCTAAGACTCCCATTGTGCCTCTTGCTAATCCATTTCCACCCTAACAAGCTGCTGCTGCTGCTGCCTTCAAACCCAGCCATCCAACCAGCAGTCCATCCACCGTCTGCTGGGCTTGGTTCAGCTCCAGTATTGTGACTTTTCAGCAGCCATTTTAAGCTTCCTCCAGTAACACTTGCCCTCTGCTGTGTTTAAACAAAGCTGTACTGCTCCATTATTTAAAACGCTGATACGCTTTAAAATTACGTTTGATTAAAAAAAAAAAAACCTTTTTTTTTTTAATTTGGACATTCAAATCTAAAGTCTGACGTTGGGCAGAAGACATGAAATCTAGGGATGTCGGCCAATATTCTTGGCCCGATATTAAGATATTATATAATATCTATAAGAATCTTTATCGGTTTTACCTCCGATAATGAAACCCGATAACGCAATGCATGGGTTTCGTTAAATGACGTGCGCCCTAAAAATTGTTTTGGGGATAAACGGCTGTATATTAAAGTGAAAGTCACTAGATGGCAGCATTGCAGCTCATTTAATTAATCTCATACTCATACAGTGGTTTGTAAAGAGAAATAAATAAATATTACCAGGACTATATTGGTATCTGTTGATATCGGAAATTAAGCGTTTGGACAATATCGGCATATTGAATATGGCTTAATCTCTAGCTTCTTTACTTTAGCTCTAACTTTTAGCTACTTTACTTCTAACTACTGTGCAACCTGTTACTATGTATTGTGTTGTAGCGTATGTTGGATTTTATCTATTTTAGGTCGACTTTTCCTCGTACAATGTGTCAAAATTGCCAAAAACAAAATTTGAAATGTTTTTTAATCTGATCTGCGTAATTTGTTAAATCACATTTTTTTTATTTCACAATAAAAATCCAAAAAGAAAACAAGCAGCTGACTATAAATTCATTTTTAAAATTGTTCAGTAAAAGAAAGCCGAGGTCGGACCTTGAGCAGATAACACCTTTAAATTACAGAACAAATATTCTGTCGTTTCTGGTTTTAATTGTGCTGTTCAGTGGCATCCTGTTTTAAACAAAGTGTGTTTTGTACGTCTCCCAGAATGCACCTGTTATCAAAGAGCTGAATTTCCCCATGGACTCCAGCCCACACAGACACACACTGGGTATAATGAGATTAAAAGAAAAAAGAAAAAGGAAAAAGAAAAAAAAACCGAGGGGTGAGTCAGAGTACTCGGCCAACTGAGACGAGTCTTTTGTCATTTAATGAACCAAAGGATGAAGTTTTCATTCAAAATGTACTTTTACAGTGTTTAAGAATAAAAATAATTGAAAAATAGCAGTAGGTTTGTTTGCTCTATAACTACTGTAAAAACATATCAAGCTCAATGTGGTCTTTTCAATTCATTATACTGTGTTAGTTTGTGTCTATCTATATAAATATTTCTACATTTGTTTTTCGTTTTTCCATCTTTCAGGGTTCATTGGGTTACTTTGGGAGGGCATTGAGCCTCAATGTGTTTGAGCAATTTAAGACATTTCCTTAAGTATTTTACTTATGACACGGTCGTATTGTTTAATATTTAGTGAGCAAATAACTAGTCTTGAATTTTAAATAAATAATTCACATTTATTTGTTTTGTTTTTAATGGTTTATTATGACTAAAGTATTCGTAAACAAAGGTTTGATATTTTTATTTTTCTCCTTGTTCCCCACATCATCACCATCATCATCTCCTTTTTAATTCTGTAATAAATGATAAATGAAACTGTACTGTGCTGCTGGAAATGAGGAGGCGTGTGTGTGTGTGCGTGTGTGTGTGTGTGAATGAGAGGGACAATCGCATTAGTGACTTTTTATTTTAAAAAATGTGAGTCACAGTTGAGCTTCAGGTGATATATGGTCAATTATTTAAATTGAGATAATAAAGTGTGGGGGGGGGGTGGTCCTGCTATTATATTGTATTCCCTGCACTGAAAGTACAATTTAGCGCTTCTCTTTAACGCTAAATGAGAACAGAGAACCTTTACGTGCCAAATGCCCCTGGAAAGGCAGCTGAAGTGGGAAGGGGTTGAGTACGGTTGATGTGCGTGTGTGTGTGTGTGTGTGTGTGTGTGTGTGTGTATGTACCATTGTCCTTTATTCCGGCTTTTTGCTTGAAGTTCTTGAAAGTGACTGCAACACTACTTCAGAGTGTTATTCAGCCTCTTAATACCCCGCTTAATCTCTTTGCCTTTGTTTATCTCCATTTTAGCTAAATAAAAATTTAATGTGCATACTTTTAAAACAATAAAGGGGCCGAGAAAACCCTCTTGCGCTGCGGAGATGAGAGCAATAATGTGATTTTCTACATAATGTCTTTGCCTCCAATTTTCCAGCTGCTCCTGCAG